GCCACAGCGAATTCAAGTTTTATGTGGTCACTGTACCTCTGCAGTTTCAAGTCCATTAATTGTCATACAGACGTCAAGGTCACTCTGTTTGAACCCAAATCCATTTTTGGAGGAGCCAAACAAGCTCAATTTAGTTCCTGTTAGGGATATATGAAAAGTAATAACTAATTACCTGAGTACATTTAATTTTCTGATTAAAACGGCCCTCTCATGAATAAAAAATACCCAGTTGTTAACTATCCTATATGAATCTCATCATAATTATGTTCTTTTATTAACCAGTCATTTATTACAAACTTTTCTCTCAAAATTTACTTTAAATAAATAAAATCTGCATATGGTGTGAAAGATTACCAAGTGCCAAACTTTATTCTTAAATGCAAGGATATTTCAAGGAAAATGTGGATCACATCAATATATTTATTAATGCTTTTTAAATATTCACTTTTTTAGAGATTTAAAAATAACACAAAATGAAATTTCACTTGTGGTGTCTGTTAACAGAAATCCCACACTGCTACTGTCTTTCTCAGTGTGGGATTTCTGTTAACAGACACCACAAGGTAACTAAAGCCCCATCCCCACCACCACCATCCTTTCTCATTCTCAAAGTTAATGTGCTTATAACACAGGTACTCATTCTGAAGGAAGGTCATCCTACCTTTCTTTTCTTAAAGGTAAAAAGTTATTTACCTGGAAACTCCTGTCTTATGAAACTTTCCAGGTTTTGACGAATATGTTCACGAGCTTGATCTTCTAAAATAGTTGGAGAAAAATCCTCTGTTTAAAATAAAAAAAGAAAACATTAAGAAACAAAGATTGTTCACATTCTCTGGGGAAAAAATCATTTTTTATAAAACAAAATCTAACAAGTTAAAAAGAAAACTAAATTTTATGTCTAAATTTTAAACTAATTTATGTCTTCTTGGTAGACAGCATTAGTACTATAAAATAGAGGATGTCTTTCTTTGAAAAGAGTCTGTTCCCACCCTCTTACACTACTGGTGGGAATGTAAGCCACTCTGGAAAGCAGCATGGAGGGTCCTCAAAAATGTTGAAAATAGAGCTACCCTATAACCCAGCAATTGCACAAAGATACAAATGTAGTGATCTGAAGGGGAACCTGCACCCCAATGTTTATAGCAGCAATGTCCATGAGAGCCAAACTCTGGAAAGAGCCCAGATGTCCATCAACAGACGAATGGATAAAGAAGATGTCATATATATATATAGAGAGAGAGAGAGAGAGAGACAGACACACACACACACACAACAGAACACTACTCAGTCATCAAAAAAATGAAATCTTGCCATCTGCAATGACGTGGATGGAACTAGAGGCTATTATGCTAAGTGAAATAAGTCAATCAGATAAAGACAATTATCACATGATCTCACTCATGTGGAATTTAAGAAACAAAACAGGATCATAGGAGAAGGGGAGGGAAAAATCAAACAAGACAAAGTCAGAGAGGGAGCCAAACCATAAGAGACTCATAGGAAATAAACTGAGGGTTGCTGGAGGGGAGGGAGGTGTAGGGATGGGGTAACTGGGTGATGGGCATTAAGGAGTGCACGTGATATAACGAGCACTGAGTATTATATGCAACTAATGAATCACTGACCTCTACCTCTGAAACTGATAATACAATCTATGTTAATTAATTGAATTTAAATTAAAAAAGGAAAAAAATAAAAAATTAATACTGTATTATACCCCCCAAAAATAATGGAAAAAAAAAAAAAGAAAGAAAGAAAGAAAGAAAAGAGTCTGTTCCCAGGAGCTGCTACTGAAATAGAAACAAATCTGAACAATGGTTCTGCTCTGAGGTTTCATAAACCCCGGGTTCTATAAAGGTAGCCCTCAGGGAACTGCCCCAGAGTGTGAACACGGAAGTTTGTAAGCATGCGCATATATTTTATTTTCTAAGGGGAATCTAGTTTCCTTTCATAGCTTATAACCTCCAAAAAGGTTTAAAAGCGACTCAGTCACTGGTTAACAAGTAAGGGTCTTCTGACACTGTGATGCACCAAGTTCATCTCAACAGCGGCCTGCCTCTCCTCAGTGTTCTCCCTTTAACTTTAACCCTCTGTCTACCACTGCTTCCCGGAACTGGTATTCCTCAAAGGGCTGTTAGGGGTCTATTAATTAGTGTTAAAGTATTTTATGCTCAAGTTTTGGAAATGCTGGGATAAAGAGTTAAATAGGTTCTTTTCCATAACATTTCTCAAGGCCTTTATTATGCTAACGTGCCCTGCAAATCTCTCCAGCAGGGAGCCGAGGGTACACTCATTCCCTACTTGGAGTACTTCTTGCCATGAAATACTATTAACTTCACTTAGGAAAACCGTTCAAGGAACACCAGTTGGGAATGCTAGTACTCCAACGTTAGACTTAAAAGATCCTCCCTCCTTCCCTGTCTTTCCTTCAACAATTGTTTACTGTGGGTCTCAACTGGAACAGGCAGTACATAGAGCTCTGTTGACACGGTGGAGAATGGAACAGACCCGGTCCCAGTGATGGAGCTAACAGGTCAGTGATTCAGAGGACTCTTAAGCAAATGTCAATGCAATATTCGGACAAATGAAATGTTATTAACTTACTATAACACTGGATGCAAACTTGATCTAAGATATTTGAAAATTTGGGTGTCAGTGGTGGCAAAGGTTCCAGCTGAATTCTTTTGAAGTCTTCGGGACAGTCCTTCTTGAGATGACCTTCTCGTTTGCATAAGCTGCACACAACCGTAGGAGACTGCAGGAAGGTGGCAAAGTAAAACAAGACATAATATACAACTCTGCCAAATAAAGGGGTCCTGAATCAGTTTTTTAAAAGTCCATAGTCTACTCTGACTTTCCAAAGGAATAAAAATAATACGCAGTCACTCCAAACAGGGACATCTTTTGGGATACTCAGGAGACAAAGGCAGTAATTTCCACTACCAAGAGCATTCCCTTTCTCCAAAGCAAATTTGCATGGGTCTGAGGGAAAGAGATGGAGCAGCTGCACTGGAGTGTAAGACCAACTCCTCACTACCACCTAGACAGGGGAGGGCTCTGTGCTAGTACACAAGAATTAAAACTACATGCATTAAAACTGTTCAGTGTCTCTTAGTTCTGGGAGTGGCACTGATTACCTTGCCTTTGGTGAACGTGAGTTTACTAAATTCATAGAAGAAATCAGACTGAGCCACAGTTGAGCTTTCCTCACATGCACTTTCTTCTTTAAGACAGATCTTATTAAATTCCATCAGTAGAGCCCCATCTGCAGGTGTCCCACCTTCTCTCAAGTCTTTGTACTTAGCAGACCCTCCCACTTCATCCTCCTCCTCAGACAGGGCATCCTCATCCCCTGACCCCGGGTACGTATTTTCTAACTCCTCTTCATTAGCCAAGTCGTCCTCATCTTCCCTTCGGGTAACGGACAGCCTGGGTTCTTCGTCATCCTCCTCTTCCTCCTCCTCCTCCTCCTCTTCATCGGAATGAATGATTCCTGATGTGTGGCCCTGTCTTGAAGGGCTGAAGTGGCTTAGAGCATCTTCAAGATCATTAGCACCTTCTACGCCTTCTTCGTCAATGTCAACCTTGTCCTCTGAAGTAGTGAATCCATCACACTCTTTGGCTGCAGGATTTTGGAAGCTCTCTAAATCCAAAGTGCTCTCTGTCTCATTATTTTGTGTGCTGCCACAGATGACAAGCTCTCGATGTCTGCTGCTCCTTAAACCCTGATCATCGGCAGTCAAAGGATGCCTGCCCTCTCTCCCAATTTCACTTTCTGTTTCTTGAGGGTGTCCTTTAATATCCTCAAACTCATCACAACTGGCCCCTGCCTTGAAACAGTCTGGGTTTTCCAGGTGGACACTGACATGCGCATTTCCCATTTCCTTCGTTGGGGGGCTTCCAAAGCTTTCAGCAGTCTCTTTAAGAGTCAGTGGCTGTACCATGTAGGTATCTGCAGTCGAACTGGCAGCACCTGGCCCCTGAGCCAAAACTGAGCTTTTGAGTTTATCATCTTTTGCTTGCGCAGCCGGGTCATGCTTGGCTACCTCTTTAGAATGTTCAGAAAGACATGTGACAGTACTCAGAGGCTTTGGAAGGCTGGATTTTGTAATTTTGTGTGGAAGAGCAAAATACTTATACGTTGTCCTTAAACAATGAAGTATATATTCAAACACGGGTTGATTATTTAGAGTCCTTGCCACATTTCTTTTAACTGAGTAGGGATCTGTAACAAAAAAAAGAAAGAAAAATCCACCACTTCATACATTTCTATTTCACGTTTTAAAAAATTAGCCTGCTGTAGATAAAAACAGACAACCAAACGATACTAAAGTTTAGCATGAATCTTGTATGCTTTTTAAAAAACTGGGGATGGGGAATAAGAAAGGTGTAGTTTAAGAACAAAGAGAAATGTTTTCTTAAACGTCTGCTCTATGAAGAGCACCCATTCTGTTCTGAACCAATACCCCTTCCCTATTTTGTTCTGTGACTGTGGAGGTAAAAAAGGTGTCATTAGTGTGCTTTTGTGCCCTGGGGAAGTGAGGACTTCCCTCCAGGCTCTGCTGAGTGCTCTGCCTCCCCACTCAGCCAGGCCCTGTGGTGTGTAGAGCTTACCTCCACTCTTCTGCCCTGGGAAGCCCCATCACTGAACTGGCTGGACTGAATTCAGGGGCGAGAGGGAGGCACCAGGAGGAGACACCACTTCTCTCAATCTTTTCTCCTCCCCTAGAACTCCAGCAGGTTAGGCAATTGGCCAGAAGAGCTGTGCCAGAGAAACTGCAGGGGAGGGTTTAAAAATGTGAGATCCCCATGACTGCACACAGAATTTATGCAAAATGCAAAAAAAAAAAAAAAAACCCCTCTTATGCAATATAAAGCTTGAAAAAAATCAAGCAAAAATACGAGAATTCCATTTAGGAGGTTCTTTAAGTTATTTGAAGGAGGAGAATTCAGATTTCTAGAGGGGTTTCAACCTCCTGACTTTGCAAAGATGAGAAGAGCTAGTCCATTTAATGTAGTCTACAGGGCACATCAGCGAGTCTTTCATACAATGGTTTTAGTTAAATGAGCCTTCGCTAGAAAAAGTGTTTTCATGAATCAGTTCCAAATGCTACTGTAGATATTCCAATAATAATCAGCCCCTCTTTCTATGAAGAGGAATCCAATGAAGAATTATTTTTCATGAGAAAAAGTATTTTCTCACCTTTGTAAAACTAAATGATAACAACAATCCAGGAAAGGACTGAATCTAAAAATCCAGCACAAGGAGAACAGTAAAGAGGAAAGGGGGATTCACACATCATGGGGTGGGGGAAAACTCTGTATAAGCGTTTAAGTTGTTAAGCAATTTATAAAGAAAGCAAGGACTCAGCCAGCCACTGTTTTAGCTTTTTTTTTCAACTAAGACGTTTTACTGCAGTGCTTAAAAAAACCCAGGATGAACAGTTTGGTCCCTTGGAATGACCACAGTTACACATGCAAGATTCTAACTATTTCACTTTCAGGGTCAGGCCTACATTACGTGTGGAGGCTGAAAGGAGAATGAAGTAAAAAGCATGCGGTTAGACTGGTACCTTAAAAAAAAAGGGAATTAAAGATAAACATTTTGAGATACCTTCAATGGCAATGCGCTTTTTGGGCCAATCCTTTGATTCCCGAGATACAGATTCTTTGACACGAATACTGATCACTAAATCAGCCAAATTAAATTCTAAAGCATAGAATCGAAGCATTTCCACCCAGAGCTGCCCAACTGGAACTGATGGGACGTGCTTGAAATCAAATATTAATGATACCTATTAACAGCAAAGAGAAACACACAGGTTAGTCCAGATGTCAGCACAATCTGAGAAACTAGAGATCATTCAAGCAAATTACAAAAAATCTGAAAAACCTTAGCAAAGACAGGAATTTGACAATCCATCTAGGTAAATCACATCTAGGTTATATTTCGTTGGTGGGAAAATGGCATTCCTACCCTGCACTCCTGGGATGAGAGCATGTTAAAATCTAACCATCATCACAGAAGCAGACAGGCAATTTTAGGCAACCAGGTGGCACTCCTTGTTTTGAAGCCTTAATGACAGGTGGAGAAAAACGTGCCTGGATTGCTACTCTCAGCACGGAGCTCTCCCTGGCGCTGCCACTGGAGGGCACGTTTACACTTACACACACAAAAATGGGCGGCAGCTATAGGCAGAGAGCAAAAGGCAAAACACTCCTTTCATTTGCTCTGGGAAGCTACATAAGCTCACTGAATCTGCTAGGGACAAATGATTTTAAAGTCAACTTTTTTTTTTTTTTAAGGTTTATTTATTTAAGTAATCTCTATGCCCAACGTGGGACTTGAACTCATGACCCTGAGATCAAGAGTCTCATGCTGTTACAGCGCCCCAAAGTCAAGTAACTCTTGATATCAGAAATTGATGCCGGTTTTACATTCACTGACTCTCGACAAACTGGAATATACTGTGATGGAATATACTAGAAGGTGCATAGGATCTAGAATAGCAACAAAAGAGTCCAAAAACTGACTCCGCCACTTCATAGCTCTTAACTGCTCTTGGACTTAGCCTCTTCACTCTCAGTCGGCATGACAGCATAGTGGCTAACGGAACTGGTTTTGCAATGGGACACTTTAGGCTTGAAATCCAACTCTGCCATGTACTAGCCACGTATGATCCTGGCCAGGCTCTATGCTGTCTAAGGCTCAGTTTCCTCATCTGAACAATGGGGATTACAGTACCCACCTCAGAGGGTTGTTGGGAGGACTGAGTGAGAGAATGTCTGTAAAGAGCTTAGCACAGTGCCTGGCACACATGTTCAAAAAATGGTCGCTATCATTATCTGCAGAGTAGGGATGGTACCACCTATAACACAGGATAGTTATGAGGATTAAATGAGAAACAAGGGAAAGCATCCGGCAGATTTGGTTGCTCTCTGTATTCTTTCACTTAGACACAGTCTTTCAAGTACAAGAAATCCATTTATCATTGAAACATAATGTCACAACGGTAAAATGCTCTTGAGAGGTAATCCAGCTCAACTTCCCTAAGTTACAAGAGAAAACTTAAGCCCATACAGTTGACATGACTTGTCAAAGGTCCCACTGCTTGTCAGTGGCAGAACGAGAACAATGTGTCTCGATCCCGGTACTTCGCCATGCAATCAATCTCGACCCTATCTAGGTCTTCATTTCTGAAGTGGTAGCATGACTGATCTCTCCAAATAGCATGAAAATGTAAACATCGAGTATTTGCTTGGGCTTACAGCAACAGTTTTTCCTTCTCAGGTATACAAATCTGTTGTGCAACATGCTTTATTATACTGAGCTTCAAAACAAGTGGTATAGTATTTTATTAATCACTAAATCCTGACCACAAGTATTCTGTCAAGTATGATAAAGTCATCAGGTAGATTTACAAAGCAGAACTGCCTGTAAACGGAAGTTATCTGGGTCCCGAACACTGTAGTTGAGGACACAAAGAAAACCCCCAGAAATTGAAAGCCTCATTAAATTTCACCTCTTTATCCATAAGCCTTATTCAGCATCACTAAGGGCTCTGAAGCATCTCACTGAGATGACTTGATAATACCACAATATGGAACTTACAAAACTTTGGACATATCTAGACTAGTGGTACTTAAGCTGTTTTTCATTATTGTTTTTATTCTTTTAAAGTAGGGAACGCTTTCTTTTTCAAAAACAAAAAAACCCGGCAACTAACATTTACTGAGAGTTTGCTACTCGCTTGGCACTGAGTTAAGCATTCTAGAAGCCAATGACCCTATGAGAGGGTACCAATATCATCTCCATTTTTAGGTGAGGAAACTGGGGCCCAAGAAGATTAAGTCACTTGCCCATGGACATACAGCCAGGACGTGGGAGAACTGGGATATGAACCCGAAGTAGAAAAGGGAAAAGAGTGGTGGTGTTCTGGTGGCAACAGGGGTTGAATGGCACCACCTCCCTTCTCTCTCCAGCGCTCAAGGATTCGAGAAAACACAACTGGAGAATCTATGATTCATCACCATTTCCCCATTTTAGGCATGGACCTGAGGAGCGACAGGACTTGTTCGAGTAGAGCGAGGACTAGAATCCTGGTCTCAGAAGTCCTTTGTGGGTACTGCTACCATTTCATCCCAGACAGTTACAGGGAAGGTCGTGGAGTCAGGGCCCATACACCAATTTGGGGCAGATTCCTATTCTTATTTCTAGTATAATTACATTGCTCAGTTTTGTTTGAAATTTCAGTGGCAATTCTCCCCTTGTGCATAAATTTCCCCGCCTCCCCCTAATGGTACTGATGAGGACACTGAAATACATTATATCGAATACTTCTTCACTTTGGATTCAGTGATCTGAATTTTACCTTCTCTCATTACTTGTCTATTTCAAGGACTGAACAAACTAGGGAATGAAACATCCATGAAAGAGTTAAGATAGTTGACGGATGAGAGGAGGACTGATTAACTCACAGACTCCACAATTAACAATGAAATCAAATATAAATGGCAAAATGAACAATGAGAGAGAACAGACCTGTCCCCTTTTAACAGGTACTTCTTTTGGTGTGTCTGCATCCCCAGCGGCATTGTCAGTGTATTCCCAGACCACGGTGTCTTTTTGAACATCTTTAAGGTTGAAGTTCCCTAGTTTGTTTAATGAGAATCCTTCAATCTAGGAAAAATTAGACATATACTATTATTATGAGGTAGAAAGGATTTTATAGCAACCAGAGTGTATTAACCCTGGAAGAAATGAAAACATAGCCCATTGAAAACAGAAAAGGTATCAGTTTATGGACTGAGACATCTCTTAATTTAAAAATTTTTTTTAAAAGTAAAAAACAAGGTTTTCACTTGCAAAAGAAATGGTGATTTTGTGAGATAATTCTTCAGTAAACAGTCTAAGAGAAGGTAACACGGCCTAGGCCCAAAGCCACAGGTTCTGGAGTAAAACTGCACAGGCCCTAACCTCGGCTCCCTTGTGGGGCTGTGAGACTTTCAGTCAGTACCTTCCTCCTGGTCTCAGGTTTCTGTAAAAATGGGTTACACTAGAACTTCCTCCATGAGATAGTTGTGACATGAAATAATGGACACAAACCACTGACACAGCATATGGCACACAGGGAATGCTCAATGTAAAAAACTTTCTATTGATGTTGCTGAGATGCCAACTGCTAAAGAACACAGTCTGGGCTCAAAAGGTCTAAGAAATGTGGAACAAAGTTGAACAGGTTTCTTTATTGTGCAGTGGGCTTACTCATAGCCTTTAAACTGGTTAATGTAGCTAATGAGTCATGGTGTGGGGTCTGGATGCGGTATCCTGTTTCTCAAATTTATTTCCACATCAAATGGGACTACTTTTTTGGTTTAGTACACAGAGTGATCCTTCTAAAACATAAGCCATCATTTCATTTCGCCTGCTCACAATGGTTTCCTTCTTACTCAGGATAAAATTCAGTCCCTTCCAGGGCTTAGAAAGAACCTACGTAATCTGGCCCTTTGCCACTTCTCTGTCCCATCTTCTCGATACATCCACCTGGCTCAGACTGCTACTCCCTCTGCTTTAAAGACTCCTCTCCTAACAACCATGGAGCCACACTCCCTGGCTGGCTTGTGCTTTTAGGGCTCTACCTAAGAAATCCTTGCCCACCCTCAGGCTGCAAAGATTTTTTTTCCTTTTTCTTCTGGGAATTTGATTATTTTATTTTGAGAGTGCGTGAGAGCATGAGTTGAGGGAGAGGCAGAGGGAGAAGGAGCGGCAGACTCTCCACCGAGCAGGGATCCCGACAAGGGGCTCAATCCCAGGAACCTGGGATCATGACCTGAGCTAAAGGCAGACGCTTAACCAACTAAGCCACCCAGATGCACAGGGAATTTGATAATTTTAACTTCTACATTTAAATCTTTGATCTATTTTGAGTTAATTTTGGCGGATGTTGGGAGGTTAAGGATTGATGTTCCTATTTTTTTTCCTTATGAATATCTAGATTCGCCAGGATCAGCTGTTGAAAAGACTTTCCCCCAATGAAATGCTTATGCCCTTTTGTTGAAAACAGTATCCAATGCTTCCAATCCACAGACTTGGTATGTCTCTACATTTATCTATGTTCTTATTTAATTTTCACAGTAATGTTCTATTGTTCAAGTTGGAAGTCTTACACATCTTTTGTAAATTTATTCTTAATTAGTGTATGTTTTCAAGCAGCATTATTAATGGAAGTTTTCAAAACCATTTTTAAATGTTGCTAATATATAAAAATACAAATTTTTTAGGATACCATCTTTGTATTCTATGCTCATACTAAATTTAACTAACTAAGCTCTAGAACTGGTTTTGTAGTTTTCTGAGGATTTTCTATGTAAACCATCATGTTATCTGAAATAGAGAAACTTCTACTTCTCCCTTTCAGGTCTTTATGACTTTTTATTTTCTTTCTTATTGTAATGACCAGGACTTCCTCTACATATTTGGATAGGCAGTACCGACTGCCAGGGACCTAATCAATACAAACATTAGTAAGATGTCAGAACTAGAGTTCAGAATGACGATTTTAAAGATACTAGCTGGGTTTGAAAAAAGCATGGAAGTTACTAGAGAAACCCTTTCTGGAGTATAAAAGAAATAAAATCTAACCAAGTCGAAATCAAAAAGGCTATTAATGAGGTGCAATCAAAAATGGAGGCTCTGACTGCTAGGATAAATGAGGCAGAAGAGAGAATTAGTGATATAGAAGACCAAATGATGGAGAATAAAGAGGCTGAGAAAAAGAGAGATAAACAACTACTGGATCACAAGGGCAGAATTCGAGAGATAAGCGATACCATAAGATGAAACAACATTAGAATAATTGGGATCACAGAAGAGGAAGAAAGAGAGAGGGGGGCAAGAAAGGTATACTGGAGCAAGTTATAGCAGAAAACTTCCCTAATTTGGGGAAGGAAACAGGCATCAAAATCCAGGAGGCACATAGAACCCCCCTCAAAATCAATACAAATAGGTCAACACCCCGACATCTAATAGTAAAACTTACGAGTCTCAGAGACAAAGAGAAAATCCTGAAAGCAGCTCAGGACAAGAGATATGTAACTGACAATGGTAGAAACATTAGACTGGCAACAGACCTATCCATGGCAGGCCAGAAAGGACTGGCATGATATCTTCAGAGCACTAAATGAGAAAAATATTCAGCCAAGAATACTATATCCAGCTAGGCTGTCATTCAAAATAGAAGGAGACATAAAAAACTTCCAGGACAAACAAAAACTAAAGGAATTTGCAAACACAAAACCAGCCCTACAAGAAATATTGAAAGGGGTCCTCTAACCAAAGAGAGTGCCTAAAACCAGCATAGACCAGAAAGGAACACAGGCAATATACAGTAACAGTCACCTTACAGGCAATACAATGGCACTAAATTCCTATCTTTCACTAGTTACCCTGAATGTAAATGGGCTAAATGCCCCAATCAAAGGACACAGGCTATCAGACTGGATTAAAAAACAAGACCCATCGATATGCGGTCTGCAAGAGACTCATTTTAGACCCAAAGACACCCCCAGATTGA